GAAACTCGCGCGTTCAATGCGCTCTGATTTCAAGGAAACAAAAATCCAAAGTCAGCAAAAATCGTCGAATATCCGTCGCCGAAGTCGGCGCCGTTGATTTGATCGATTAAAGTAGAAACCAAGACGATCGTCAAATATCCGCCGCCGGTATCGGCGTCGTTGATTTGATCGATGCACCTTTGACCTCTAATCAAACAACCGTTACTCGGTTCACCACCTCTCCAAACTACGTTCGAACGAGGGTGTTCAACGAGAAACGAGAAACCAAACCGAGAGTGTTCTAAGTTACGTTACCTCTACTCCTATGGAGGTTCCTCTGGAGAGCTCCGCAACTACGACTACGACTACTACGACTCTGCAAAGGAGGTCTTTGACAGAGCAGTTCTATGAACTAGAGAGAAAAATTGATAATCTGCGACGGTGCAGTTTGAGATTTGATTTTGCCGTCCCGAGTCTCTCTCTCTTCTCAATCTTTATACTTCGCGCTTCTCTCCTTCGTGGTAACTGCCTTGGCGCCTTTGTCTCCCACGTCTTCATTCCTGTCAACCGTGCAGGTAACTTCCTCCTTGTTGCGTGATAATCACGTGCCCTCGAAACCGCTCTTGCTTTGCAGAAACTTGGCGAAACGACTCACCACCTTGTCCATGTAACGATGACGTTTCACCAATACCACGGCATCGCCTTTCACCAACCGATGTCGTTTTATGATCCAACTCAACTGCCCCGACCTGGTTTAACCAACGACATTGTTAGTCCATCAAATAACGTCGTTCTATACTCTTGCGACGCCGTTAGGCTTGGCGGGCTGCCTTCGGCCGAACTCATACCACTACCGCGATGTCGTTTTATTTTTCCGCGGCATCGCTTTTCATTAAACGACACCGTCTAAAATACTCATAAAATATTGATTTATTAAATCAGCCCTCATTGTTAACTCGCCGTCAAACTCTCACCCTGGCGTCGTTCTTGGTTAAACAACACCGTTTCCTTGTCCCGCGGTGTCATTTCTTCCTCTTGCGGCATCGCTTTCAACTAAACGCCACCGTGCTAAAAAGTCATTCAAACATTAATTAATTAATCCGCCATCACTAGCTATGGCCAACGACATCGCTAGCGCCACCACAGCTCCGATTGTTTTTTCCCTTTTGCGACATTGTTTGTTATTTTAAACACTGTCGTTTGCTAATCCACGGTACCGTTGGGCTTATCGCGGTACCGTTTTTAATTTCGCGGCACCGTTTTAGCTCTCCGCGGTGCCGCTTCTCCCTATCCAACAAGGAGTAAAAAATAATAATAATTAATTAGTGTAAACAAAACTCATTCCCCAACACTCAACTAACGCGCGGCCCCTCTTTTGTTTATTAAGCGGTGTCGTTTCCCATGCCTCGGTACCGCCGAGCTTCCTTGCGGTACCGTTTTAACTCTCCGCGACGCCGCTTAACTCCAAACGACATCGTTTTTAACCCGCGGTATCGAATTAAATGCCGAGACTAATTAATGCGGCATTTAATTTCGGCCAAATTAATTTTAGGTGTCAACATTAATATAGCAAAGCTCGTCGCTAGCTTTGGCAAACTGAAGGAATCCGATAGAAATTCATAGAATGGGTTCGTGACTTCCCAACCACTCTCTGCCGTCAACCTTGCAATTTTCTAGCCACTCCCCGCGCAGACCTTGCGATCTCCTCGCGACCCCCACCGTCGACTACAAAATTCCCCAAAATTTAGGGTTTTATTTGGTAGGACAGCACTACCGTCGATTTTCAAGACTTGTTACAGTCGAAAAGTCTAAGGAGGTAAGCTAGACATCCAACACTGAATTTTAGTTGAATTCCATCTAGCAGCGGAGTTCCGTTGGCAGCAGTTGTTCTTGTTCGCCAAGCAGCAGCTCTCAATAGTCTATTCAAGAAGAAAACATGGAAGAGAGAACGATTGTACTTTTGAAATTAGTTTGGGTAAATACAATATATAAGCCATAACTATTAAGCAGCGGGGATAGCCACAACTATCGAAATACAAATTATTAGCCAACCGTTAAGTGTTCGTTAACACTTCTGTCAGTAATGATAACTAGGCTTTTACGATGTTGAAAACAGTAACTGGTTATTAGCCAGATCTTCACTCGCAACAATAGTTATGGTTAATAATTTGTATTTCGATAGTTGTGGCTATAATTTCCCGCTGCTTAATAGTTATGGCTAATATATTGTATTTACCCAATTAGTTTTCTTTGATTGGGTAAACAATAAGGGTAAGTTGGACATTTATGGTCCACCCATTTGTTGTAAATGCAGAGTTTTGCCACGTCGAGGTTAAGTTAACAGAAAAGTTAATCGAGGGGTGCATTTGCTATTTTGTCATTTAATAGTATTATAGTGCATGAGATTCTTTGATCTTTGCATAGTACAAGGATTTGTATGCCTATTAATAAAAAAAACCATATTCTAAAACTAACCAAGTAATATCCGTAAGAAAGGAAAAGCTTTGACCAAGGAAACTAAAAATTACACGTGGACAAAAATTTACTAGGAATTTTAACCACCGACTTGTAACTGACTCTCCCACTTCGGTAGTTTCTTTCCAAATTGAGCACCAATAACATCGTAGAACTTATAAAAAAGCACATTGTAGAATAACACACGTCAAGAACAAAGCACCCCTAACCACACTCGCACCCCCTCCAGAACTGCCACGTGGGACAGAAGTTAGCTAGACTTGTCTCCTCACGGATATGGAGGAGCGTGATTATCTCAGAGTTTTAAGTAAAAAGCTTCATGACACCTATAAGTTGCAATAGGAGCATTTCTCGTACGTACTACATAAAGAAAGAGAAAAGATGAGTTGAAAAGGGAGAAGAGGACATACACATTTTGGTTTGAGAGAGATACCATATTCTAAGGGTTGATTCAACATAAGAGGGAGATGGCGATGATGAGGGGCAGAAGGGCAGTGATGGCAACGATGCTTCTATTGTTGGCACTAAAGACGTTGGAGGTGTGTAGAGGGTGGGATTTTAGTGTGACCCAGTTTTGGGACAAGACAAAGGAGACAATGCAGCAAGCAGCGGGACAGGTGAAGATCTCCACGTACGTAATTAAATTAAATTAAATTACATTAAATTAAATAGATGTTTTCCCTCTTGCAATATCCACATTTGTATTTGACTTGATGATGACGATAGAGATAAGAAAATGGAGCTAGTGTCGGACAAAGGACATGATGCAATGCAGAAAATTGGAGAAGCAGCTAGTGAGAAGGGCCAAGATTACTCAGATCTGTTCGCGAATGGTATCTAAACTTCTCAGCAGAGGGTAGAGATGGCACCGGGTGGCACGGTCCAAAATTCCAAAGATATGTTGGGAAATGCCAAGGAAAATGCTCAATATGCTCAACAAAAGGTGTCGGAGGTAGCGGGTGACAAGGCCCAAAATGTCAAGGAAATAATGGGTAATGCAAAAGAGAAGGCCCAAGACACAAAGGAAAAGGTATCCCAGACTGCTGGTGACAAGGCCCAAGACGCCAAGGACAAGGTGTCCCAGGCCACTGCTGATGTAGGCGCTCATGCGAGGAATGAAAAGGCCACTGCCGATGAGCTTTAATTTAATCTGTGACATAGCTTGTAATTTGAGTATTATTATTATTATTATTATCATAAGCAAAAGAAAATGGAATAGGTTATATATTTCATCGACATTCTAATTTATTTTTTCATATATATATATGTGTGCGCGTGTGTCGTGTGTTTTGTGGCATATGAGTATGAGTTTAGTTCTAGACTAACTCGTTGTCTGAAAATTGAGTTTCGAAATATAGCTAGCTAACTAGATAGTTGGATGATCGTATGTTGTGCAAAAAGATAAGGCGTCGTCCGGCTGCGGTGAGTGGCCGTTTGATAGCAACCTGGTATTAGGGTTCTATAGGATATAGTTGTGAGATTGGGAATTGGGGATTAAAGAATAGAATCGAGATTTGAGAAGAGAAAGATAGAGAATCAACCGAAGTCTTAAGAGGTTTGAGAATGAGAATTGAGAGGATTGTGAGAATAGGGTTTAAGAGATTGTTTTCTTAATACTTTCTTGATTGATTCTGGATAAAACGCAACGCACATATTTAAAACCTAATAGACTATCCTAATATGACTCAAAGACTACTAACCATATCTAAATAAATCCTAATAATATCAATATTGATAATTATGATAGGACCCGGAAATTAGGTTTCTATCATCCCCTCCCCCTTGAGATGAACCTTACCCGGAAATTAGGTTTCTATAACCCAGGATTGACTCCTCCATTTCTTGTGCTTCCTTTTCCTCCAATCACGCTCCAACTCTTCACTTGGGCCTCTTGCGTTGTTCTCCTTGTGTTTGCCCAACTCTTTGAATTTCATATCCATGGGCCCACTATTTGCTTCCTTGACAAATTCAAAACTCAATAGATCCTCTCTCACTAGTATGAGTCCATCAAGAACCTCGAACTCCTTGTTGATGTTCCACGCCGGTCCGAACCTATCATTGTCATGCATTCAAAATGCTGGACTAAACCTTGGAGCTAGTCCATTAATTCTCTTGTTTGGATCTCCACTTTCTTTTGGACCAAAAACTTTTGAGAGCCCACCTGCCAAGCATAAGCAATTATCTTCCAATGAGTCCACTCCATACAAAAGGGCTCTTGTTAATCAGCCCATATGCGACCCAAGTGTTTTTCCATGCGAAGCCTCAGTCTTCCAATTTGTGGGTCTGCTTAATTGGTATGGCCCGTCCATCTTTTGACACAGGCTATTCTGGCCCATCTCCATCCTCTGGCCTGGTCGATCAGAAGAAACGACCCATCTCCATCCAAGTTTTGGCTCACCTTGTTGCAGCTTGCTCTGCTGGCCCGTCAAACCCATGCAAAGGTCAACGAATCTTCCCTCCTAACCAGACCTTTTCTCATACGGACCAGACTTACTTTTCTCTTTCGCCCCCCTCAATCCCAACTCCGCTTGGCCAAACTTTGGCCCATGTCCAATACTCCCAGCCGGACTCCAATCCCATTGACCCGACCCATCGAACCGGCTTGCTGCTCTACGCCGCGAGTCGAACAAGAGTTTGTGAGAACGGTGAACCGCTGCCAACCTCTTCTTTCGTCTTCCTCTTCCCCATCGTGCCGCCAGCCGTCGTCATCTCCATTTTTGGTGACGAGCGGACCACCGAGCGGCTACGAGTCCCCCCCCCTCCTCGGCTCCTCCTCGTCTATCATTAGCTCTGGCTTCTTTGCCACCGCTAAAGCCGCCCCAAGAAAAATCGTTCGCCGCTTCTCCATCTTTGTCCCCCGTAGCTCCTTTATCGATGACGTCTCGTTCCCCGATGTCTTCTTCTTCTCCCTTCTTACTGTTAGTCCGTTCAGCCGGCGGCCAAGACCCCCGCCTGACTCCGGCTCCGTTTTCTTCCCCTCGGACGTCACCCCACCCGACATCGCCTCTAGCGAGATCCGCGACGGCAGCGCATTCTCCCAGCGAGCTGTCGCTTCCTCCTTTTGCTCCCTCGCATTCTCCACCCTACCCGAGCGAGCTGTTGATTCCTTTAATTGACCCTTATCTTAATTGTTTTTCTAATATAATCTCTTCTTGGAGGATTGGATCTATGTGGTGGAATATATATGTTTAGGGTAAATGATGATCTCGATCGGGTTAGGCTTGAATGACCCTAATGAAAACATTGGGGCAAGAGGATAAATGTTAGTGTTAGTGTAATCAACTAAACTAGGTATCAGGATTCTTGTTTAGAATACGACTTGATTGGGTGTTATATCAATGGGTCACCAGCAGCTCATTATCTTCAAATTGAATTGTTCAGCAGCAGTAAGTTGTAGTTTGATCCATCTTAATTAAGTTTAGGAAGGGTGATGCATTATTGACTAATGTGGCCAAGTTATCAATGAGGAATTTCAATTTAATTAATTTTGGGATATTTTTTCTTTACGAATATTCTTAGTGGTTTATGTTCTTTTAATTGTATCATCTTAATAAGTTATTGTTTAATTAGTGGTTTAAGACGTGTTTATCTCGTTTCAGGGGGTATAAACCCTATAAAACAACTTTTCGCTACATTTTTATTCATGAATGAGGCTATAAGTTGTTACTAGTAATTCAGCAGAAGAGGGTTATGCTCCATGACACTACAGTTGCGGGAAGACTCTTATGCTTGATGGGAATGAGGATACGATGAGTTTCATCACCTTCGGTGGCCTTCCAACCACTAGTTTCAATTTTTGCCACAACCACAGCCGCACTACCTTTGAGTTTCGTTTTGACGTTTTTTGAAATTGAACTCCAAAAAGGGTGGTTTTACGCGAGGTTTCTTGTGTTTCAGTGTGTTTCAGATCCTAACTGGCAAAACCAAACCCGGAGTCGAAAGGTGGAAGAAAAAGAGTATAGAGACCGGACAAAGAGGAGGAGACAACCACTGTTTACGGTCTCACATTGGAGTTCACAATCTTACAGGACCGTGAACTGGAGCCACAATCTGTGAACCAAGGAGCGTCCAGAGAGGGTTTTGCGGTTACTAATGCCCAGGCTATTCATGGTCGGTAAGGCTGTGAACAGAAGCCACAAACCATGAACCTTAGGATGTGAAGCTGTGCGTCTTGGTTCACACATAGTTTTCACAGACGCGTTTTGTGTTCACGGCCGTGAACTCATGCCGTGAACTGGGCTCGATCTCGATATAAAGAGCCAGGTGAAAGGAAGAAGAAGAGGGAGACCTAGTGTGAGAAACTTCTTCTTCTTTAAATTTTAGGAAAGTGACGAACCAAAGAGGAGGAGAAGCAATGGTTTCATCTCCAAGCAAGGAATTGGGGAAGTCATCCCCCAAAGGAGGATATCTTCAACACAAGGAGCAAGGCTTGTATCTTCTTGATGGTTTCCCTTTCCCTCTCTTGTGTTTTCCCTTCTCCTAGCATGGAGTGGTCCGTTCTTTCACTTGTGTTTGTAAACCCTAGCAACAATTATGTGAATGCTAGTATGAATTGCATGATTTGTGTGTGGTTGTGTTTAATGTGAATGTGGAGGTATTTTTCATGGTGATTGTGTGTGCTATGTTGACCTAGCTTAGAGAGGAGACCTCCTTATGTTAAGAGGCTCAATTAGAGATGGGTGTTCTTGGGCATTGCATGCCCCCTAGGCCAGTTTAGAGAGGAAACCTCCTTTATCCAAGGAGGCTCAATTTGAGTTGGGTTTCCTTGGGCATTCAAGGCCTCCTAGACTAGTTTAGAGAGAACCCTCCTTAACCTAAGAGGCTCTACTAGAGATGGGTTTCCTTGGGCATTTCATGCCTCCTATACTAGGTTAATTAAGGACAAACCTCCTATTTCATATTAGCACTTAGGGTTTGGTTGTGGGTGGCCGTCCGAACTCCAATTCGAGGGTGAAGTCTAACCATTCCATAGTTGATAGGTTGAGAGAGCCGCATTAGCGGCTTGGATCATATCCCATTTCCTCAACCTAGAGACTAAGAGGGTGGCCTTGGCTACTTGTTAGACTTCCTTGTGGTTTATAACCACCTAACCATGCACGGTGGTGTGATTCTTCAAGTCGTAATTGTTAGCTAGGGGGAGCAACACCCGGGTGAAGCCTTCTCAATTAGTGTCAAATCCATTTTACCTTTGCAAAGTAATTTAGCTTTAGACCTTTGTTTTCACCAAAACTCGTTCGCTAGATAATTTTTAAAACAGTCAAAGTAGCGGTACATGGAAAGGTTTGGTTTGATATTTAAACATACTTGCCTTATATTTCAGCCATCTAAGGTTTATACTTGGGCCTTAGGTTGGATTTTATTGTGATAGTCAGTGCGAGTCAAGATTTTGGCGCCGTTGTCGGGGAACTTCGGTCTATTATCGTGAAAAATTTGTTTGGCGTTAATCTAGCTTTTAATTTATGTTTTGTTAAGCTGTGAAGGGTTTGCTTGTGCTAGACGTGTTGTGTTCTTTGAGTGTGTGTAGGGAGGTGCATGACCTGACGCATTTAACACCACTAGACGAGGACATCAACCGGACTCTCCAAATTCTAGCTCGAGAGAGGGAGCGAGTGGAGGCAAGAAGGAGAAGTGAAGAGAGGGGACAACAAGTTGGTCCCAGAATCGAAGGAATTGAAGGAGAAGTTGAAGTTGAGATGGCGGGGAATCAACACCGAGGGGCGAATCCCCTTCCAATCCCAAATGTGGAAGCGGGGCCGAGGAATAACCCAGGACTATGGGCTATTACATGGCTCCAAAGGAGGTGGATATCCAATCTCCCATCTTACATCCACCCATGGACGCCAACAACTTTGAAATCAAGCCATCTCTCGTGACGATGATTCAACAAAACGCCTACTTTCACGGGCTTGCTCATGAATCACCACGAGAGCATGTCCAAAGGTTTCTTGAGCTAGCGGGAAGCTTGAAGATAAATGGCATCCCCAAGGAGGAATTGCAATTGATACTCTTCCCCTATTCTTTGGTGGGGAAGGCACTCTTATGGCTCAACAACCGTCTGGCTCTATCCATCACCTCTTTGGACGACCTACTCAACAAGTTAATTCTGGCCTAATTGTACATGTTTTCCCCCTGTTTTCCTTACTCGTCTTTGGCAATTTAGAGCCTAAAAGGGTGGTTTTACGCTAGGTTTCTCGTGTTTTGTGTGTTTCGGGATTTATTAGGTGAAACCAGCCCTAGAGTCGAAAGTTGGACGAAAAGGAGCAAAAACTGGGAGAAGAGGTGAAAAACGTTGAGTTCGCGGTTTTCCTGGGATGTTCACGGTCTTGTATAACAGTGAAGAAGAGCCGTTGGCAGTGAAAATTGAGGCGTCCAGGGCCAAAATGCAAGTTAATGACGCTAATTCAGTTCATGGTCGCTAAGATCGTGAATAGGAGTTGTTGGTCGTGAACCCGTGGAAGCAAATCGGTGCGTTTCGGCGCCCATCTAAAGTTCACGGACACGTTTGAGAGTTCACATCTGTTAACTCAGGGCGTGAACTAAGCTCGTTCACTGTTTAAAAGCTGAGCTGAAAGGAAGAGAGAGGAGAGAGCCCATTGTTTGAGAAAGCCTTCTTCAGATTTTTAGAGAGAGAAATACGAACCAAAGGAGAAGGAGGCTAGGGTTTTGCTCCAAGGTGGGATTTGGGAAGATTCTCCCCAAGAGAAGTTCAACACAAGGGTCTAGAAGATTGGAAGCCTCCCCCAAGATGGTTTCTACCTCTTCTCCTTGTGTTTCTCCCATTTCTAGCATGGAGTAGATTTCTTTTCACTTGGGTGTTGTGAAACCCTAACTAGCTACCATGTAGTTTCTTTTATGTGAATTGAATGATTGTCATTAGGTATTGTTTAATTAAATGATTGAGGTATTATTCATGTCATTGTGAATGCTTGTGCTTAGGAATCTAATGATTGTGCAGGTTTTGTGCTTAGCATCCTTCGGTTTGTGCATGTTGGTGCTTAGTGATAAACCGTTAATTGCACATGTTTTTGCCCCTATTCTTGAGCCGTTTGAGATGTTGATTCTCGTGTTTTAGGCCGATTTCACGCTAGGTTGTGCTTGTTTGTGATATTTCAGGTCCTAATACGTGAATGAAGGTTTGGGAGCGAGTTCGGGGTCGATTGGACGAAGATCGGACGTGTGGTGAGTCGTTGAGGAAGCCACACGGGCACCCATAAAACCCACACGGCCGTATAGGAAATCAATGTGGCCGTGTGGAAATCTGCGAGGATTCACACGGGCAGACTGGGCATGCCACACGGCTGTGTGTCCCTGACGTGTATGAAGCCTGAAATCCAATTACTCGGAACGCGGCGTTTTGTCTTTGACACGGGCATCTGGGTATGCCACACGGCCGTGTGGCCTGCCAGTGTGAGTCGGGAATTCTGGTTTATACCCAATTTCGAGCCACAAGTGAGGGAATCGACTTTTCATAGCAAAAAACAGAGTTTTAGAGAGAGAAAGGGCGAAGAACAAACCCTATGAGCTATTTGGAGTGGATTTCTCACCATTGAAGCCCAGATTGCGTCCCTAGGAGTGAAGATTGACATCCCAGAGCAGATTTTCATCATCTTTATGAGTATGACTACTCTGATTTCTGTTTTCCTCTCTCTCTATGGAGTAGAACCCTTCTCTCACTTGGGTATGAAGAACCCTAGTTCCATGTGTTAGGGATTTGATTGTAATGACTTGGGATGATTATACTATTTGGTTTTAATCGAATGATGCATGTTTCATTGAATTGATTGAAGTCTGATCAGCTTTTCTTGATTTCTGCTGCAACCTGAGATAGATAGAATCTGATTAGGTTGTTAGAGCTTCTTCATTCGGTAGTAGGAGATTGGCTATACGAGAGTTAGCCAGTTTACTGCTTTGAACTGGAATCCAATTCCAGTAGTGGAGTTCTGTGCTTATTGCTTCAGCTTTCTATCCGGTGAGGACTAGTCGTCTGCCAGGTAGTTAGACTGAGAGGGCTTGGTCATCTTAAGAGATTCCAAGCTACTGTCGGATCTTCCGCAGTCTAATCAACATTAAATCAACTCAGGTTAATTACAATTGAGACCTAGCTAAGGAGCTAGGG